CTTCTACCTCATTCAACAACTCCACAATCTCTCTTGAATATTTCACAAATACATCATGGAACGAATTTAAAATCTTCAAATTAAAAGAGGGATTAATCAGTTTTCGATGGTTTTTCCAGACGTCGACTGTTGATGACACTATGGTATTTTTTGTGGCATCGCTAAAATTATCGTAGAAAACTGGCTTGTTTAGACAATTTGTCAAAATTTTTTCTACGTCTGCCGGTCTCATGGTCGCTATGTACAATTGTGAACCTACCCAGATTTTTGAAACGGGTCTATAGGCATCCAGGATTCGACATAAAATTTTGTAAGCATCTGAAATTTTGTTCCGTTAAGTGGTTTTAATTTTTAATGTAACTGATATTTCTCACTATCTTTTCTTATAAATAAAGCTCCCACAGTGGTCAGCAGGTGTACTGAAAATGGTCCGGGAATTTTCCAAGCGTAGTAAATCAACCGTCTTTTTTTCCAAAGGACCAAAATAATGATAAAAATCACAAAAGTGGTATAACTCAGGAACGCCATAACAAAAGTAAGTTGACTCAACTACAGTTTTAGTATCGATTTAAATTCGAAAACGAGGTCCTACGTAGGGTTTTATGCGCAGTTATGTATCAGCACAACATACCTAAGTAATTTTAAAAATGTTAATACTAGCGTTAGTGTTAAACTGCATGCAGTAGGTATACGTTAATGAGCTATTAAGTTTTCTTTTTGTTTCAGAAAGTAGCTTTCTCATATTATTTGTATTTTCATTTGTTTTTTTGACACATCATTTTTTCTACTTTTTATGATGTCCTGAGGGAGTTTATGTATTTAATAATTGGATTTACCTATTGTTTAAATGTTTTATTCGTTTTGTTATTAAATTTATGTTAACAAGTTAAGAAGCGATTTTTGTTTTTCCGTTAAAACTTAATTTAATAGACGCTAAATATAACTATATAAAATAATACAAAACACAAGCTGGTATAAAGTGTTCCACCATTATTATTTACTCATGTTTTTGTATGGATTATAATTTTTCACCAATCGCATGTAAATTTATTTAATGAGTATTTTATCACTTTGTTTAAAAAATGTGCATCATTGTGACGACTTTGCAATTTTATAGCATAATCTGAATATATGTAAGTATATTGCATGTTTGGTATTGCCTGTGGCTGAACTTAGAAAGTTGGGTGATATTATGTTAACAAGAATTACACCGTTTGCATACGAGTTAAAATGATTTATTTATGATAAGATAAGTAACACATTTAATTGAATTTAGAAGAATTGCTGGAAGTGTTTTTCTGATAATCTTAAATCCAATTTCTCGTAGCTCAACACATTGTTTTATATATGCATTTGAAACGTTTGTTAATGGTTTCAATTTTAGTCATTTATTTTAGTGTCCTGGACCTTTGTCTCTTACTTATTAAGTTTTACATGGCAATTTAAGTAAGTGAATAGGAAATCCTTTCGATGAGTAAAATTTCCACATGTACCGAATGCATTGCCGACCATATTTGTTTTTTTTTGTACATTTTAATTTGATTTAATATGAAAACTGTCTTTGGATCCACTCTAAATTTTTTTGTTTTTCTTTCTTTTTCAAATTCTGGTGTGTTTATTGCAGTTTCGAAAAGACAGGCCCGATCTTTCTTTCGAAGAAGTAACAATGAGAGAGTCGAACGTATTTTCTCTAAAGTAAAAATACGCTGCAAAATATTTTTTAATTTTTTTTTTCTCATAGGTGGGAACATCAACTGTGGCGAATAATTTTATCAACAGGCGACCAAAATTTAAAAACATCACTATCTGACAAGCGAAAACCAACGGATTTATTTACAAATTATATGTTTCGGAAAGTCCTGCAACGACAAATTTGGCAAATTAATGAAAAAACGAATATTTCACTGTAGATGCTCTTTTGGCATATTCTAGGGAACAGTTGGAATTTAAAGGGGGGCGAACCACATTATTAGAGAGCGGATTTATAAGCACAAAAAAATTAAGAATAAGCGCTTAAATAAGTACATTTTCAATAAAAAAGTTTTATTTTAAGCAAAAAACATTAAAAACATAATCATATTACAAATCAAAGAACACTTCTTAGAACTTTGGATAAAATATTATTACAATAATCCTAGACTTTATATTTTACACACGTATTTCAGTTTTCTTTAAAACAATTTATGATTGTAATATGTTCCAAGTTGTCCACTGTAAAATTTTTTCGCCGATCATTTAAAATGTGTTTAAAATTGGAGAATGTGCGTTCAACATCCACACTCGTTGTTGGCGCAAATTTGAATTTTGCAACTAATGTTGAATCTAACTCCAAATTTTCCACCTTCTGGCCTTGTAAAACACGAGCAACGTCGGAAAGAACACCGAAACCTACATTTTTATTTAACACTTCGTCAAATTTTTGAGATACTCTAGTACCAATATCACCCCTAACTGCATTTGCTTGTTGTTTAAATTCTTTCACTAAGTTTATGGCATCTACCAACAACATGTTGGGTTTTTCTAACTTTTCTATTACCTCACATACGAATTGATAATTGCTTCTTAGAAAAGCTAGATCTTGTCGCAAATCTTTGTTTTCCAAAATATTTATGCAATCTTTAATCGATTGAGAAGAATCTTCGCTAAACTCCTTAACTACTTCCTCAAATTCTTTGATATATTTGTCATAATAAAATGTGGCCTGTAACCATGTTCCCCACCTCGTTATAATCGGCTCTGGGGGCAATGGTATGTTTGGAAATTTTTCCTTAAAATGTTGCACTCTTAGTGGGGCTTTAACAAAAATCTTTTTACCATTTGCCACTAATTTATTAACAGTAGGAAACTGCAAACGTATTCCTTCAGCCACTTTGTTTAAACCGTGGGCAATGCAAGCAGAGTGAATTAAATTGGGGTACAATATTTTTAGATTATTCCCTGCTTTCAACATATAACGAGCTGCATTCGAGATCATCAATAAAATTTTATTCGCCGGTAAGGCATTTGGCAAAAATAGTGACGTAAGACTGTCATTTACAAATTTGGAAATCGTATTGCCATTTGTTTTATCTAACATTTTCAAACTTACTACATACCCTCGACTAGGGAAATTTTCATTTAAGATTCCAACAATTAAACTTGCCACGTATCTTCCACAACTATCGGTTGTTTCATCGACAGCGAACCATAAATAATTATCTCCAATGCGATGTTTAATTTCGTTGTAAACTTGCTGAAACACTGGGCCTACATAATTTTTTCGGATAGTACTTTCAAGCGGAATATGTCGATTCAAGTGTTTTTCAAGGAATTCTTGAAGAGGACCTTTCTCCAATTTTTTTAAAGGTATATTGGACTGGATCATCATTTTACATAAATCGAAATTAAACTGAAACTGCTCATCTTTTGTGGACGTAGATGCAACAGATTCATGTATGGTCTGCTGTTTAATTTTAGAAACTTCAAACATTTTCTTCCTTTCTATATGAAGAGTCGTTCTGACATGTTGCGTCACGTTATATTTTTTATCACTTTGAATCTAAAACAACGTACATATACAGGATTAACAAAGGAAAATAGATAAAAAAAAATAGTGGGCTTACGGTTTTCACACAAGCTCTGCAGAATATTTTGTTGTTTTCTAATTTTAATTCTGGAAAATCCCTTATCCACTCATCCGGCGTCGATTTTACTTTCGGCATTCTTTTAAAATATTAGTAATATTACCAAAAAGAACTCAACATGTAACAAGGGAGAACCACGTATAACACTGTACTACGACAGATGCGATAGACTGATGGTTGTGAAATAAACGGTTCATTTACTTAAAAGTTTCCATTAGAAAAATTTTAAGGTAGGTAGTTGGGTACAATCATCCTTTTTTCTAGAAAATCTTCAACGGTCTTGCCGCAAAATGCCGAAAAAGAACATCTGGTTAGAAGCTTTAATTCATTATCAGCGGAAGTAAGGATTTAAAGTCATAAAATCTATGGAGTATTTTTCCAATCCTATAATAAAATTTTATTACCCAAAGACCGGAACCTATTCACAGAAAGGGTCTTGAGTAAGTGTACTTCAATGGTCAAGTCCAGGTAAAATGCATACGATACGAAACGGCTAACTAACAAGTATTTGTCATCCCGACAAGGCCGGCATTTGAACAAAATATGCATTAAAACTCATATTCGTCGAAAAAAGCATTAAATAAGCGTATAAGTTTTAATATGCATAAAATTGAAAAAAAAGCAAATAAGCATAAAAAAATGTGTCAAATGACTCCAAATTGTATCATAGTTACAGATATAAAAAAGTTTTGAAGTGCTTACATTTTTCACAAAAAGCATTAAACCTAGAAATCCGCTCTCTAGTGATGATATCGATTTTCATAGCGAAATAATGGAAATGGAGTGAATTGTAGCTTATCGGGGGGTAATATTTTTACGCATCTTTCGTTCTAAATTTACCAAGGTAGTATGTGAAAAACTACCTGACGTACAATAAAATAAGTATAATTTTGGTTAGATCATCCACGTTGTTGCTTTGCACCAAATTTTAAGCATTTTTATTTTTTTTGCAACTCTTCATGGACCTGGATAGTAACGTTTCAGTTCGTCTATGGTGTGAATGGAAGTTTTAAAAATAGTGTTTTTTACATGACCGAACAAAAATAATCCAGAGGGGCTCAGTCTGGTGACCTTGGAGGTACTTAGAAAATGATTGTAAACTTATCACTGCATCATCAAAGAAATTACGTAAAAAATTCAAATTGTCTAACGTTGTATGTGTCGTGCCACCGTCATGTTGAAAAAATCCGTCATATTTTCAGAGTTAACATAACTTACAAAACAAAATCTCATAATTGTGATTCAAATTGACACAAGCTCAATAGAACACACATGAAACCAAGCTTCATCAGAGTAGAATGTTAAATGGTTGGGCGATACGTTTATTAATTGGATTCCACACAATGGGATAAATTTTATAAAATAAATGAGCGTAGCTACAAATTTATATACAAAATAACATAACCCCTTACTTTTGGAAAAATACATCAGATCAAAATATTCTTTTTTCGAAAACGAAACGACTGTATTTTGGCTTCAGGATCATGAGATACTGCCACTTGATGTCCTTCAATGATTTCATACTAGGAGTTTGTACCTTGAAGCGTCTCAGGATCGTCGCAAGCATTATTGTTACTGACATCATACCAAATTTGAAACCTAAGACAAAGTTAAATAAAATCCAACTGAAGACAGACACAGACCTATACAGTTTCTGGTACCAAAACTGAAAGGAATGTAGGAACAGCGATGCCGTTTTGCAATTTCATCAGGGAGAAAGCGATCTGGATCAAATTTTTCCGGTTCAGGCCACACATCTGGATCCTTGTGTATATGTACAATAGGAATAACCAAGTTAGACCCGGCAGGAAAGACATAAGGATCTGGAAACAAGAAACACATCTTTGAAGATCCATGCTTTAAATTAATTTACCGCAATTAATGTCTTCGTCAACATATCGCAAAATAAAAGGAACTGTAGGACATAATCTCATTGTTTCTTTTATCACGCGTTCTAGATACTCCAGACGACTGATCTCTTCCAAGGTTGGATGTTTTTCCATGTGTGGCAAAACTGAAACGAGTTCCTGGTAAACTTTTTCCTGAAAGAACTATTTTATCGTGGTTTCAAAGCTTTTACGTAATTCACTTGAATGTCTGGATAGATTCCTAAAATCGTTAAAATCATATTGACTGTGATTGCGGTGGTTTCGCTTGCTGCCATAATCATTAAACAGGTTTCTTCTAAAATTTCTTCACGGGTAATTTGCTTAGATTGGTTTAGTTTGATCAAGTGTGGTAGAAAAAGCTTACTTCGAATCGTATCATCTTAAAAAGAAAAACGTATATGTCATAGACAGGGTGTTAATTTTACCTGTTCACTGTAAATGTTTTATGACTATGAATACATACCATTTCTATCCCCAGACTCATATGCTTTGTGTGCTTCTGCTACTATCTACAAACTAAAAATAAAAATATAATGTTTGTAATATAATACGCACTTTTTCGAAAACTGCACGGTAAGTTTGGCAAGCCGTTTGATGCACTTTATATAAGTTGGATAATTTCCAAATTAAACCTATGAGAAGCCAAGGCTTATGAAATCTCTGTGTAAGTATCTTTTCAAGTCTGAAATCAAAACTTATAAAAACCCTTCGCAAAGAAACAGAGACTTACTTCATGGCGGCTCTAATGGCACTATATCTATCTTTTATCAAATGCGGTCTTACGTTTGCTGAGGTTTCTGTTAAAATTGTATTTAACAACAACAATTAAATTTAAATATTAGGAAATTCGCCTTTACCTAAAGCAGCATCAAATGTCTGTTCCCAGACAACTGAAACGAAATCCTCCTGTTCGCTACCTTCTGCGTCATTCAAGAACTTCACAATCTCTCTTGAATATTTCACAAACACATCATGGAACGAATTTAAAATCTTCAAATTAAAAGAGGGATTGATCATTTTTCGATGCTTTTTCCAGACGTCGACTGCGAATTTTACAAGTCGTTACTGTGCGTTCAAAAAATGTACTACCTTTAGATGTTAGTAGGGTGTTTTTCACTACATCGTTAAGCTTCTCGTAGAAAGGTGACTTGTTTAGACAATTTGTCAATATTTTTTCTACGTCTGTCGGTCTCATGGTCACTATATACAAACATGAACCTACCCAGCCTTTCATGACGGGTCTATAGGTATCTATGTTTCGACAAAAGTTTTCGTAACCTTCTGAAACTGTTTTGTGACGTGTCTTTAATTTTTAATATAATTAATATTTTTCAAAACGAACTCACTATTTTTTGTTGCAGATAACATTCGCACAGTGATCACCAGAGGTAGTGAAAATGGTCCGGGAATTTTCCAAGCGTAGTAAAGCAAGCGTCTTTTTTTCCAAAGGACCAAAGTGATGATAAATATAACGCAACTCAAAAAAATCCAGAATAACATAACGAAAATAAGTTCACTTACAACGGTTTCAGTTAAAGATTTGAAAACGAAGTTCCACGTGGGGTTTTATATATGCGTGTTCACAACTTGTTCATGCATATGTAAAAAAATATTATACGTCAATGAGATATTAAGTTACTATTGTCCCAAAAAGGGCAAGGACCTTCACAGATTATTTGTACGTATTTTTCATTTGTTTTTTGAAGCATTTATGACATACTGAGGGACTTTGTGTGATAATTGGAGACGTTAATAAATACATATAACTATGTCAAACAACACAAAACACGAGCCGGCATACAATATCTCAATCGCATGTAAATTTATTTCATGAGTATTTCGGTAGGCATGATTGTGTTCACCAATGAATGTAAAAAATTGGTCGAAGGTTATTCTGACAGGACTTGGGTAGCAGCGATAAGCTTAGATGTGGAAGGTGTTGGGAAAGTATTAATTGCATGTTTGTATCGTTCTCCAAGCGCGAGTATTGGATAATTCTTGGAACATCTAGATGAAGCTTTAGAAGCTGACATTAGTCTACGGTATTACAATGGCATGCCTAAAATCGTCAAATCAAAAAAGTAATTTCTAACTCCGGACTACGACTATCGTCATTAAATATGGACTTTGATATAATTGTTCTCACCGAAACTTGGTTGTGTAGTGATATAACAGACAGTGAAATATTTGATTCAAAATTTACAGTTTTTCGTCGTGATCGTAATCCAATGTCTACTAAAAAAACTAGGGGTGGAGGTGTACTCATTGCTGTGCGAGCAATGAGTACGTTTGGTCTTTTTCGTCTTAATATGTGTAGACTTATTTCGACAATAAGAAACTTAATCCATCTCAAAAGTTCTTGTTATTGTCCATTGCGTAATTTTTCAAAAAATCCAATTTTCGATTAACAACTTTTTGAGTTTTCAGTTTTCAGGTTTTTACTTTGAGTGTTTCGAATTTTAATTTTTCCTTTCTTCAATATTTTGATTTGCAATTTTTTTAATTTGTCGAGTTTTGTTTTTCGGTGCTTCACCTTTGGGATTTGCAATTTCAAAATTCCACAATTTTTCATTTACATTTTGCCTTTTTTTTTCTTAACATGTGCAGACTTATTTGAACAAATTCGGTCACCACATCGTGATGATTATTTTTATTCTTAGAAACCTAAAACACGTTTAAAATGGCCAATTTTTGAAAACTTCATTACTATTTAGATTAGGGCAGGTATGGGTGGGTCTTCATCTTTGGTTTTAATTTTTTTTTATGTACATATTTGAATGATACTCAAAAAATGTCTTACATTGTAATTTCTCGCAAAAAAAATGAATCTCCGCCCCTCGGCTTACAACGAATAAAAAAAAATCATCAGAATTGAGATAGGGCGGATGGGCGGGGCTTATATTTTGCCTTTTTTTCTAAATATACATAGCCATCTTTTCACAACAAGAAATATTGATTTTGCAATTATAGGGCGGAGCCTAATTGCAAAATCGATATTTCCTTATACAAATTTTCCATTTTAAACATGTTTTCAGTTTCATATTGTCGAAATAAGTCTGCACATGTTAAGAAAAAAAAAGCAAAATGTAGCCCCGCCCACCCACCCGGTCTCAATTGTGATGATTTTAACTGCAAAATCCTTATTTCCCTAAGAAAAATTAAAAACATGTTTTTGAGTATCGTGTTCAAAGAATACTATGTATATTAAGAAAAAATTAAGCCACACCCATACCTGCCCTGATCTAAATAATAAAGTTTTCATTCGTTGGCAGACCTAGGGGCGGAGCCTAATTGCAAAATCGATATTTCCTTGTACAAATTTTCCATTTTAAACATGTTTTAAGTTCCATATTGTGAAAAGAAGTGTACACATATTAAAACAAAAAGACAAAATATAAGCCCGCCCACCCGCCCCGTCTCAATTGTGATGATCTTTTTATTCGTCGTGCGTCAAGAGGGCGGACCTTAACTGCAAAATATTTATTTCTTTACAAATAATTAAAAACATGTTTTTGAGTGTCGTATTATTCAAAGAATACTGTGTATATTAAGAAAAAAAAATCAAAATATTAACCCCGCCCACCCACCCCATCTCGATTGTAATGATTTTTTTATTGTTAGAAACTTAAAACACGTTTAATATGGATTTTGCAATTAGGCTCCGCCCCTAGGTCTGCCAGCGAATGAAAACTTCATGATTATTTAGATCAGGGCAGGTATGGGTGGAGCTTATTTTTTTCTTAATATACATAGTATTCTTTGAGCTACATTTTGCCTTTTTTTTTCTTAACATGTGCAGACTTTTTTTGACAACAAAAAACTTAGAACATGTCTGAAGTGGTAAATTTTTGTACTAATCAGCTTAAATCGTCCATATTTTTTCTGCAACCCCTTTAAATACGGCCAAAGTTGCTATCAAGGGCAACTTGGCAACAGAGTTAATAAATGACAATTTTCAACTCTAAAAGCACCGTCAGCGGGAACTTCCACATCAACAGTAAGTTGCTAACGTCATTAAAACCAAATGTTCATAGCATAGTTCCAAATCTGACAAAAATCTACGATGAATTTTCTGCAGAGGACACAATTTTGGAAATTTTATGACTTGGAAGCCGCCAGAATTTCTTCTCAAGAAGTGGTTCAGTGGGCTTGAGGAATCAGTGGTGCCACAAGCAAAAAAATAATTGCTCTAGGAACATTATCAATGTTGCTGATTTATTAATACCATAAAATTACAAATACCACAACGATTCTATAAATATTTTGATTGGCTTATTCACGTCTCTATTTCATCTTCAAAGTTTTATAGTATGCGGTGCGGTCTATATTCCACCTAACTCCGATTTAAACTCTTACTTGGACAATATTTCATCGATGGACTTCATCCTGATGCTAACATTTGCATCGCAGGTGATTACAACTTACCAAATTTATTTTTCACTAATGATTCAAGAAATTGTATGGCAGGGGTCAGCGACAAAGAAAAAAATATCTCCTCATTGGAGTTATTTCAGCATAATCATGAGATTAATAAAACGGTGTTATTTTTGACTTAATATTAACAGAGTCTTCGTCGACAGAAGTTCATAGTGAAGATTTTGGATTAGTTACCGTGGATGACCTTCATCCTATGCTCTGTATAAATCTCTCCACAAATCATGCAACTTCCAATATTGTGCCTTAAATCAGTTAGTACTATAACTTCAAAAAAGCCAATTATCACTTTTTAAATAACTATTTTTCATCTATAAATTGGGGTTCTCTTTTGCATTATTCAGATAATGAAGCTACAATTGAAACTTTCTACTCCATTGTTCATGAGGCTATTGATATCTGTACTCCTAAAACTAGTAAGCTCAATATTCATTTTCCAGTTTGGTTTAAGCCAAATACTGTTAAACTTGTAAATAAAAAGCGTAGATTATTCTCATTATACAGATCTACATTGAATGTAACCCATTATAATCATTTTAAAGCAGTTCGTAGACTAGCTAAGGCTGCAATAAAAGAAGACCACGATAACTATATATGCTTCGTTGAAAATAACTTTCATAACAATACTAAAGTCTTCTTTAACTATGTAAATTCCAAAAATCGCAATTCTAAATCTAGTGTACCGAAAATATGCACTACCAAGACTCCTCTGATCCCCAAACGATTACAAATATGTTTGCTAAGTACTTTAAGTCTGTATATGATTCAAACGTGAACAACCATAACCCTGAATTAAATCCCTCTTTGTTTCTGAATAATGTTAATTTATATGATATTGACTTAAATCCTGACTTGATTCGAAACAAACTATTAAGTCTAAAACCTAGTTTAAATCCAGGACCAGATGGAATCCCTCCTTATTTCCTAAATCAGTGTGCTAGTAGCTTAGCCTGGCCTGTCATTTTACTCTACAGAAAATCTATCGACACTGGTATTTGTCCCAGTATTTGGAAACAATCTTATGTGATTCCCCTGCATAAAACTGGAGACCAATCTGAAGTTACTAACAACCGACCTATATCGATTATTTCTGCTTTATGTAAGGATTTAGAATCAATTATTAGTGAACAACTTTTTCGACTGTACAGAAACATCCAAAACTTTGGTATCTCGGTATTTGTGGTCAACTTCACTCATGGATTTTCTCTTATATTACCAATCGTTTTCAAAAAATTTCGTTAAAAGGATTTCTATCCGATCCTCTCTTAATACCTTCCGGAGTTCCCCAGGACAGTCATCTTGGTCCAATACTCTTCCTACTATTAATTAATGATCTTGCAGTATCCCTCTCTACATCGAATCTACTGCTTTTTGCTGATGATTTAAAAATTTTTTCCAAGATAAGTTCCTTTGAAGATTGTTATCGGCTCCAAGGAGCCCTGGATGTTACTACGAAGTGTTGTATTAATAATAATATTATGCTCAACAATGACAAGTGCAAGATTATAACATTCTCTAGAAAATTATGTAACTATGTATTCACCTACGCTATAAATAATAAGCTTTTGGAAAGAGTGAATGAAATAAAAGATCTAGGAAGAGAACGAGCAGGTCTTCCAAAGAAGCAAAATAACAGTAAGATCACCTTTGCAATCGAGAGAGAAGGAAAATCAAGAAGATATAGAGATGGAGGAGGTCGAGAAGATGATCAGCAAACTTGCGACACAAATTAGAAATGATATAAGAGATAGTAACAAACAATTATTGAAGGAATGGAATACACGGCTTAAAGAGGAGCTTAAAAGAATAAGAGAAGAATCAAAGCAAACAAGAGATCAACTACAGGTGCAAAATCAAGAAATTAGAGATAAGTATGAAGAATGGAAGAGAGCTAAGGAAGAAATGGGAAAGAGAGTGGGTGAAGTAGAAAGTCAACTAGATCGAATGGAGAGAAAAAAGAGAATAAATAAAGTAGTGATTATGGGATTGGACATAGAAACAGGAGAGCAGAAGCAGATAATTGGAAAAGTGACAAAATTTTTAGAAGAGAAAGTCAAAGTAGAGAGTAAAGTTAAAAGCGCGTA